CAATGATGAGAGAGAATCATTGATTGGCTGCCTCCTGCATGCCACCTTTTAGGGATCAAGCCCAAAACCTGGGCATGTGCCCTGACTGGGAATCGAACCTGTGACCTCATGGTTTATAGGTTGATGCTCAACCACTAAGCCATGCTGGCTGGACTATTTTTATTGATTTTTAGAGAGTGAGGAAGGGAGAGTGAGAAACAGAAACATCAATGTGAGGGGGAAACATGGGTTGGCTGCTTCCTGCATGCCCCCTACTGGGGATGGAGCCAGCAACCTTTTGGTGCAAGGGACAATGCACAACTAACTGACCCACACCGGCTGGGTGGGACCATGGTTTTTAAACATAAATTTGGCTAGAAGCCCTGTAGGAGGAAGATATTTAAATACCCAAGACCCCATTTTTCAGAGGCTTTTCTCTAGAGAAAGGGCCCAAACTGGCTAAACAACTCAGTGAGCTTAGGCAGCCTGCAGGCTGAAAAACAACCAGTTACATTTAGAACAGTCAGATCCAGACCTGGCCGGGTAGTTCAGTTGGTTAAAGCATCCTCCCCTTATACCAAGATTGTGGGTTTGATCCCCAGTCAGAGCACATACAAGAATCAAACAATGAATGCATAAATAAGTGGAACAACAAATCAATGTTTATCTCTCCTTTCCACTCCTTCTAAAAATAAATAAATTAGAGAGCAGAGTGGTGCAGCGCAAGCGTGCTGGGCCCATAAAAATAAATAAATAAAGCCCTGCCGGGGTGGCTCAGTGGTTGAGGGTCAACCTATGAACCAGGAGGTCATGGGTTCATTTCCTGGTCAGGGCACATGGCTGGGTTGCAGGCTCAATCCCCAGTAGGTGGTGTGCAGGAGGCAGCCAATCAATGATTCTCTCTCATCATTGCTGTCTCTATCTCTCTCTCCCTCTCCCTTCCTCTATGAAATCAATAAAAATATATTTTTAAAAAAGAGCCATTTGATCCAAAGGAGAAGGGAGTCAGGGCCCCATGCTGAAGCAGCTGATTCAGAAACCCAACTTGAGGTAGTCAGGCATAGGCTGAGAAGCAATGTAGTTCCATTAGAACAGCCTGCTTGGGAAAGTGTAGGGAGCCGCTCTAGGGTCAAGCCACAAACAAGTCCCAGCCTAAGGGGCAGAGCTCTCCTTGCATAATTAAGCCTGACCTTGCAGCCGCCCCTAATTCCTTCCTAAGTAGCTAATGGGCTGTGGGAGGTGCAGCAAGTTGCCAAAGCAAGAACATTTGTATACATGTTAATCTACTCTTGTTTTAATCAGACTATAAAATAAAGCATCGGTTTGCAGGCTGGGTCTTTTGTGTCCTCATCCAGGCACAGGAGATGTACTCAGCCCCAGCTGTATTCTCTTGTCTGTCTTTTCTTCAATCCTTCACCGCCCCTCCTCAGGTTCACCCTTGGCCGTGCTGGTGCAGCACAGGGTCTTCTCTGGACCCCAGATGAGCCCTCACTGTGTTGACCGCAAACAAAGTCTGCCAGGTATTCCTTCAGCAAAAACAATATTTAATTAGAAATAAAGACAGGATTGCAATACAGTCCTTGCCACCATAGTGAATCAGGTGCAAGTTCGTGGGTAAGCAATAGGGAGGAAGTCTTTTATAGAAGGGAAGAGGAAGTGTGTGGTAGGGTTGTTATAACCTAGAACTCTTCTTGTAGGGCTTTCCGTCACCACATAGGGCATTTAGAGCTCCTCCAGCAGGACTTCCTGATTCCTGTCCAGGTTAAGGACTAGCCTTAAATTTGAATCTGGCTAGCAAAAAAACCCCACGAGATTTATTTTGTTTTGGTTTGTCTATATTTATTTTGTTTAATTGCAGGTTAGCCTCCGGAAAGTTTATAGGTCTTGGGCTCCAGAGTAAAATCAGAGTAGAGACTGGCTCTGTCGCTTAGACAATGGGCTTAGACCACCCAACCTCAGTCTCCTCTAGAGCGGATTTCGGCTCCCATCCGCCCCAGGAACTACATTTCCCAGCAGGCCTAACGTCAGCCATGACGTACTTCCTCCCGACATCCCCCGCGAAGGGAAGAAGCCGAGTGGGCTCAAGACCGACGTGACTATCCTTCGTCGTCGCCAGTGCTGCTGAATTGAGAGACCTTGTCAGGGCCGTTCCTGCCCCCCCCCGCCGGCCACCATGTCCGCCCAGGCGCAGATGCGGGCCCTGCTGGAC